CGTCACTTCCGGTTACGGACGCAAGTGACGAAAGGGAAGCCACAATACACTCCCCCTGGACAAGGAGATTGGCTAATTACCGAAAACACGCACCAATGAGGAGGTAGACCGGGATATTTAAACCGGGACTTAAACAGGAGCAGCAAATATCCGATTGAAAAAGCCCTCAAGTAGGGCGAAACGCGTCTCGGAAAAGGACATTTATGGGACATTTTTATTCTTTCTTTGATTTTATATTTTATATGTTTTATATTTCCTTGCCAGTGGGCAAAATAAATCATCATTTTTTATTCAAGTTCCTTTTGACCTTCATTGAAGCTGCTCCAAGAAGGGTTGGTGTCTCCCTTATTTTGTCACTTATGCTGACAATTTAGAGCCAAATATTGGGCTCAAAACAAGGTGAGCATTCATTTATATATATAATATATTCACCTTTATTTAAAGTTACTGCACTATATTTCCATTCTTCCGTGCAAATTTTATCTCTGAGGTAATTTATCTACGTGCTCAAAAAGAGAGGGGATAGTACCACCAGACGGTACCAAAGCGCAAGTGATTTGAGCCTATCCTTATTTGGGCTCTGGAATATGTGAGTTGGCACTTCTCATGACTACTACATAGTAATACATTGTTATACAGATTTACACTATTATTTTTTTCTGTATATGTTTTTCTCTTTATTGTATATATGCTGAATTGGAAGTGATTTTATTACAACATTAGGACCAGATGACCCTCTAAGTTGGGTAGGTGCCTGTTATTATCACTATATGCTCCACTCATATAGGTGAATTGCGTTTGGCTTTTCTACCTTTTTCTATAATTCTTTTAGTAATACTCAAGTGGATAAGTATGCAAATTACTTAAAAAGTTAACGGAATCAGGATTGTGTGAACACGTATGGAGTACACATCTAAGCTAGGCTTCCAATATAGTGTTGCAAAGGATTAACAATCTAGACATGTATATAGGCAGAGTAGAGCTAAGCATAAGAAAACAAGTGTAGCGAGTCTGACATAAAGTGAGCTTTAGAAACGTTCTGTGTGGTAGGGGTTAAGAATATGGTATTCACGTAGGCTGTGTAGGGAGAGAGTCTCTGCTTTGTGTGCAGGGTCTTAGGCTGTGGGCCTTACAATGTGTTGGTCCGGATTGCCTCAGCCGATGCCCGTCCTGGAGGCCATACCTGCGTGCCTGGGAGGGTAGTCTAGGCATTTTTGTGAGCGCATTCTGTGGGAGCATATGGATTCCATGGCACCTCTATGCTGGGGCTCGGTTCCCGGGCGGTGACGTGGGTCCACTCTCAACGATCCGGTAGGCGGCTGACACCGTAAAGGGTAGCTGCGTGCCGTGCAGGGCTCTAAGCCTTGGGTCTGATGAGGTGCGTGCATGTGCGGCTTGTGTAGCACCCCAGTTTCTGCTTGTGTGGGGACAGATGTTTGTGCCCGCATACCCGGTATTCACTTCCCGCTTTGCTGGTCAATTGCCATTACTCCGCCAGGTCACTGTTCTGGGGGCCCGCGGCAACGTTCTGTAATGGCGGGGCCTGGTGGCTGGACAAATCCATGCGGCCACCGCTCTCATCGCATTGTATTGTGTCGCTCCTCTGTTGCGGAACACTGCCCAAAAGCTTTCGCAGAGCCGGTCCATTGCCGCTGTGGGCTGAAGTGGCGGCTAGATGCTTGTGCCCTTTGGCTGGGGCCTGTGCTGGGCCGCCATCTTGGCTGTGCCTCGATGGTGCTGTACCCCTGTGAGCCCGCGTGGCCCGTTGATCCGTCCTCGGGTGCGCTTAGTGTAGCTCGGGCGGACCGGGATGACACCCACCGGTCCAGGGGTGGTAGGGAGGGTGTTTGCCGGGTCATTCCGTAGTCGGGGAGAGCGGCCGTCTCACCCCGGTTCCAACCCCTGTAGGCCGGATTCGGTGTTTAGTGCCCCCATCTCCGACGGGCGTTGGAATTGTGTCTTTCGCTGCTGTGGTGCACCCCCAGCATAGGTAGTGCACCCTGAGATGTCTGTGGGCTTCGTAGCTGCCGCTTTACCATCAGATTTTGCCTGTCGGGCAGGAGCTCATGCGACCCGCGTCCACTCCACTTGGCGCTCAAGCTCCGCCCCCCAAACCTTCATTTTTTTAAGCAAAAATAAAAACCAAATAAAAATCCACAATACCCATCGAACATAAAAAATAAGTGTAGAAAACACCCGACGCCAAAAAAATTCCATCCATTTGGTTAAATCATGGGTGGGGGCTGGGGGAAGAACAACAGGCCCTGCCCATTGTCTTTTGGGGCCCCCACCCACCGCTCATGGGTGGTGGCTGGGGGGCACACTATGTCCCCCTCACCCGCTAGTTAACAGATGCCACACCATGGGGCCATTTATTTGGGGGGGGGGTGGAAGGGTGCTTTATTTATTTTTTATAACAGTGAGCAGCCACATGCTGATAAACTGGGAGATAAATGTAACATATAAAGCCGGACATTAGCACCTGCTTTTTGCTGACTTTATTGAGTAGCTAACACTGATTACTTTTCTGTTTATTTGTGGCTACTTCATCTTTTGTGATTCTCAGCTCTCATTCTAGTGGGATCAAGAGGATAAGCTGTTCTTCCTTTAAGAAACCCACTGAGATTTATCTTCTCATTTGTGATTCACCCAGATGCTCTTCGACCAGTACTTTTTTTCCCTCCAAGGTATCATCAGTGCAAAAATGAAGCTGCTTACAGAAAAGTTGCTTTTTTCAAGTTAATTAAACAAGAGAAGGACAATAAGCGAGTTGTAGCCGTGCTGTTTCTAAGTCAAAGTCAATCTGTGCCGTTACTAGAAACCTTGAAGTGTTAAGAGTAAGTCCCTGGTGGTGACTCGAAAGAAGAGGAATGGTCCTACGTTACCAACATTATGCATCTGCAATCTTTATCACTTTCTACAAGAATAAAGTCAATGACACAAAACAGAGAAGGGCATACTTAACTACCTCCAGCGAGAATCTCAGGAGAGACTTGATCATGCACTGTGCTAAAATTTCTTAAAAAAACAAAAAAATAACATTCAAACTTAAAAGTCTACTAATCGTATTAAATCTTTTTTTTTTTTTATTGTCGCTCAGTAAGATATTGTTGGGGAAAAAGAAACAGGAATTCAATAGCATCTGAGTTGGAATGAGTGTGGACTGCCAAAAAGAACCTATAATTCACTTTTTTTTTTACTGACATATGTATTTTATGAATATATAAGATTTATCTTATCTGCTTGTCTGTATTGTATATTTTTATTACATGGCTAAATGACTGCCACAAGCTGATTTGTTGGCAGCGTTTATTTTAGTTGATATTCATCATATGGCATTTCTGTACATAAGGCTATATTGTACAGCATGGATGTCAAACCTGAGGCCCACGGGCCTGCATGCGGCCCACAATGAATATCTTTCCGACCCAGCAAAGATATTCATTTGTATGGTATTTGGCATAGTTTTACCGATAACAGCAAAGTCTGCTGTAGCCGTGCATGGTAAATATGTGCTTTTCTTTCATATAGCCTCCAACATGTAAGGATGTTGAGTCTTGACTGCTTTAACCCCTTAAGGACCAAACTTCTGGAATAAAAGGGAATCATGACATGTCACACGTCATGTGTACTTAAGGGGTTAAAAGCCTCTTCAAGGATAACCATCACAACTGTCAAAGAGGTCTACATTCTCAGGTTTACTTTCAGAATGAAAACAAAATTAATTAGTAGAGGTGGGGGCTGGGGTTTAGTAGATGGGAGTGCTGGTGTTTAGTAGAGGGGGTTGCTGGGGTTTAGCAGAGGGGGTGGTGGAGTTTAGCAAAGGGGGGTCTGAACTTTAGTTGAGTGGTGGATAAGGTTTAGTAGAGGGGGGCTTAGGTTTTGTAGAGGGGTGGTCGGAGATTAGTAGAAAACATTAATTTTATCGTTGTTCTTGTTTTTTTATACTGTATTTTCTATGAAAATGTAAGTTTTGGGGATTTTTTTGCGGCCCACATAAACTTAACCTTGTTTATTTGGCCCATGTTAGCCTTTGAGTTTGACATGCTTGGACTAGAATATCGATTTTGGTTTTGTGGTCATTTTCAACTCTGTAACATGTAGTTTTGCATTTTGTAAACAAAAGGTTAAGTTAGTGAATTTACTCCTGACTGACTCTTGAGAACGAGTGACATTAATTTTGAGTGCAGGAAGGGGAAAAATGGCAATTTTTGTCCATATCTAACATTTAAAATGTTATTTTAAAATGTTAATTTTCCTCCTATGTTTCTCTGTTTGCCCCCAAAAATCATATACTGCTAGATTTTTAGTTGTTTGTGTTTTTCACAAAGTGCTCCTCAATCCTGGTTTCTAGCCCACAATCAACCAGAGTAAGAAAAATGATTGGGCATGCAGATTGCATCCATACAGAAAGTTCATTCTTGTGTGAGTTGTTTCCATTTTTCTTACACTTCACTTGTTTATGTGGAAATTTCCACAGCAGATAAAATATACCAATTTATCATTTTTACTTTTTGGCTGGACCTTTACTTCATCCTGCTAGAGAGTTCATGCAGTGCAATTATGATGCTACTGGCCTCTTCAGATTTCGTATCACCAGCTATACACCAGGATGTGCTGTGAATATTGACACCATAACTACTATGGTAATGTATGCAGGGATTTAGCAGGGGATTATAGACCTTGTTTTCTTTCTTTCATAACTCTTTCCTGCTCTGTATTCAGCACTGTCCATGACTCTTTAAGTGACACTAATGCCATGATGCCTGCGATATGTAATGTTAATGAATGTGATTAAAATATATATTGTTAGATTGAGCACTTTTATTAATGATTACATTTTGCTCCAGTATGTTTATGTTCTTTTTTCATACTTAATGAAAGAAATTAATGGGCAGTTACTAGAGCACTGAGCTTTAGTAAAAAATCTAGAAGTTGGTTAGTCCCAGAATGTGATCTAACTTTAAGGTTCAGGATAGACAGTGTCTTCAATTTATGTTCTAGTGCAGGGGTAGGCAACATTTTAGCAGCACTGTGCCGATATAGGATTGTGATGTCCCGTAGCGTGCCGGTCCTATTTTTTTTAAATTGAGGTGTGTATGCTGCCGTATTCTGCTTGTGTTATTTTTACTGTAATTGCTTTGTATCAATGTATTTGTGCGTATATGAGCTATTATATTGTATATGTTCATGAGTAGTTTATGGTATCGTGTATGATACATATGAATGTGGGCTGCGTATGAGGGCTGCTTGTGGAATTGTGTGTGGGTGGATATGTCACATTGTGTATTAATTTGAGGGATGGGGCACTCTATTCATTGCAGGTAGGAGGCACTCTATTCACTGGAGGGAGGGGGCACTTCATTAATTTGGTGAGGGGGCCAGTATATTACTTGGAGGGAGGGAGTTGGGCAGTATATTACTTTGAGGCATGGAGGGGACCAGTATATTAATTTGGGGAGGGAGGGGGCAGTATATAATTTGGGGAGGAAGGGGGGCAGTATATTCATTTTAGGGAGGGAGGGGCCAGTATATTACTTGGAGGGAGGGAGGTGGGCAGTATATTAATTTGATGGAGGGAGGGGGGCAGTATATTACTTTGCAAATTGAAGGTGGGAACAGAGGGGCTTGGGGGAGGGGGGCAGTGTATTAATTTGAGGGATGGGGCACTCTATTCATTGCAGGTAGGAGGCACTCTATTCACTGGAGGGAGGGGGCACTTTATTAATTTGGTGAGAGGGCCAGTATATCACTTGGAGGGAGGGAGGTGGGCAGTATATTACTTTGAGGGATGGAGGGGGCCAGTATATTAATTTGGGGAGGGAGGGAAGCAGTATATTAATTTGGGGAGGAAGGGGGGCAGTATATTCATTTTAGGGAGGGAGGAGCCAGTATATTACTTTGAGGGAGGGAGGGGGCCAGTATATTAATTTGGGGCGGGAGGGGGCAGTATATTAATTTGAGGGAGGGGCCAGTATATTACTTGGAGGGAGGGAGGTGGGTAGTATATTACTTTGAGGGATGGAGGGGACCAGTATATTAATTTGGGGAGGGAGGGGGGCAGTATTTTCATTTTAGGGAGGGAGGGGCCAGTATATTAATTGGAGGGAGGGAGGGGGGCAGTATAATACTTTGAGGGATGGAGGGGACCAGTATATTAATTTGGGGAGAAAGCAGTATATTAATTTGGGGATGGAGGGGGGGGGGAAGCAGTATATTACTTTGAGTGAGGGAGGGATGGGACCAGTATATTAGTTTGGGGAGGGAGGGGGGCAGTATACTTGGAGGGAGGGAGGGGCCAGTATATTACTTGGAGGGAGGGAGGGGGGCAGTAGATTACTTTGAGGGAGGAAGGGGGCCATTATATTACTTTGAGGGAGGAAGGGGGCCAGTTTATTACTTGGAGGGAGGGAGGTGGGCAGTATATTAATTTGGGAAGGGAGGGGGCAGTATATTAATTTGAGGGAGGGAGGGGGCAGTATATTACTTTGAGGGATGGAGGGGACCAGTATATTAATTTGGGGAGGGAGGGGGGCAGTATTTTCATTTTAGGGAGGGAGGGGCCAGTATATTAATTGGAGGGAGGGAGGTGGGCAGTATATTACTTTGAGGGAGGGAGGGGACCAGTATATTAATTTGGGGAGTGGCCAGTATGGCTACTTGGAGGGAGGAGGTAAGGCATATTAATTTGAGGGAGGGAGGGGGCAGCACTTTGAGGGAGGGAGGCCAGTATATTACTTTGAGGAGGGAGGGGTCAGTATATTACTTTGAGTGGAGGGGCCAGAGCACATGGAGGAGTGGAGGGCATATTAATGTGGGAAGTGGAGGGGCAAAGACACTTGAGGAGGAAGGCAGCATGGAGGGATGGAGGGGACCATATTAATTTGGTGAGGGGAGGGGGTGGGCAGTATATTGAATTTGGAGGGAGGGAGGCATTATACTACTTTGAGGGATGGAGGGGACCAGTATATTAATTTGGTGAGGGAGGGGGTGGGCAGTATATTAATTTGAGGGAGGGAGGGGGCAGTATATTAATTTGGGGAGGGAGGGGCCAGTATATTACTTGGAGGGAGGGAGGTGGGCAGTATATTAATTTGAGGAAGGGAGGGGGGCAGTATATTACTTTGAGGGAGGGGGCAGTATAATACTTTGAGGGATGGAGGGGACCGGTATATTAATTTGGGGAGAAAGCAGTATATGTATTAAACTGGGGAGATGGAGGGGCCAGTGTATTAAATTTGAGATGGGTGGCAATGTATTAATGGGAGGGAGGGGGCAGTATATTAATGGGAGGGAAAGGGCAATGTATTCATTTGAGGGAAGGAGGGAGCACCGTATTAGTTTGGGGAAGTCAGGGGGCCAGTGTATAAAATTGGGAAGGGGGGCAGTGTATTTGAAGGAAGGAGGGGGCAGTGTATTTATTTGGGGAAGGGAGGGGGCCAGTGGATATATTGATGGGAGGGGGGCAGTGTATTAAGGTGGAGTGGGGGCAGCCTATTCAATTAGAGGGGAGGGAGGAGGGGCAGTGTATTAGATTAAGGGGCAATGTATTAGATTGGGGGGAGGGGCAGTGTATTAGATTGGATCTGCATGGAAGCTGAACGCTTCCCATTGAAATGTTGATTGGCCGCGCAGCTTTTTACCACACATGACAATAGCCTCCCAATGCTTTCTTATGGGAAAGCATTGCATTGGCTGAAATCATCAAATTTGATGATCGCAACCAAAATGAAGAACACACTCAAAGAACTTCAAAATAAACACAATAACGTAATTAGTTTTTTACAGCTGTGCAACAGCTTACATTTACCATTTCAGTCCCGTTACCAAACATTTCTTAATATGTCAAGGTAGTTGGACTGAAACGTTGGTTATATGCAAATACACGTCTCATTAAAATAAATTTGCTCTTTTGTTTACTTTGAAGCCCTACAAGGGCAAGGACGTCCAGTGTCAGGCAACGTTTTTTATACTGTACATTTCTAAATAAACCTACGTTTCTATGAAAACTGACGTTTTTGTTTTTTTGCGGCCCACATAAACGTAAACCTTGTTTATTTGGCCTGTCTTAGCCTTTGAGTTTGACATGCTTGTTCTACATTCATATATTACACATAAAATGTGTTGGATACCTCTAAGGTGCCTATCAATTATTGGTTGGCCAGTTGTATAGCTGTGGGTTGAGAGTGATTTATGGGTTACAAAGGTTTTTGATAACTTTAAAGAACCTGGCTGCTGTGGATTGGTTACTGTGTATGTTTTTTGTAAAATACTGGGCTCTGGCTTGTTTTGTTTGTTTTACATGTATAGTGCAGTTGCCTGTAGACGGTATGATCAAATTCAGAGCCAGTTTACTTACATTGTTATGATAATTCAAATAGGTCTGTGTAACCCACAGTAAGTGGGCCTTCCTAACGCTAGCCTTTTGAGTGTAACGTGGGTGTTTCAACACTGCATGTATTCTATGTATGGGAATAATCTAAACCTATGTCTGCCAGGGCAGTGACCTTTCAGTGACTAGAACAAATGCCAGCCTGACAAAATATGTTAATTGGCTATATTAACCCTTGGACTAATTTGACCAGGACAAGTGACAGTACCAAGAGAAAAGATATTTAATTTTAATTAGACACTAAATTGGAAAATTGGATCAGATCTGCTCCTACCATCTTCCAGAGTTCAGGTACATAGCAAGATTAGAGGAAATCATCTATTTAATTATTTCTTCACATTTCTTGACTTATTTACAGTATCTCTCAAAAGTGAGTACACCCCTCACATTTTTGTAAATATTTTATTATATCTTTTCATGTGACAACATTGAAGAAATGACACTCTGCTACAATGTAAAGTAGTAAGTGTACAACAGTGTAAATTTGCTGCCCCCCTCAAAATAACTCAACACACAGCCATTAATGTATAAACCATTGGCAACAAAAGTGAGTACACCCCTAAGTGGAAATGTACAAATTAGGACCAAAGTGTCAATATTTTGTGTGGCCACCATTAATTTCCAGCACTGCCTTAACCATCATGGGCATGGAGATGACCAGAGCTTCACATGTTGCCACTGGAGTCCTCTTCCACTCCTCCATGACAACATCACAGTTGAGGATGCCCCACAGATGCTCAATAGGGTTAAGGCAGTGGTCATCTTGGAGGTGTATTTGGAGTCGTTATCCTGTTGGAATACTGCTCTGAGGCCCAGTCTCCGAAAGGAGGGGATTATGCTCTGCTTCAGTATGTCACATTTCATGTTGGCTTTCATGGTTCCCTCAATGAACTGTAGCTCCCCAGTCCTGGTAGCACTCATGCAGGCCCAGACCATGACACTCCCACCACCATGCTTGACTGTAGGCAAGACATACTTGTCTTTGTACTCCTCACCTGGCTGCCGCCACATACGCTTGACACCATCTGAACCAAATAAGTTTATCTTGGTCTCATTTGACCACAAGACATGTCCTTAGGCTGTTGTCTTCAGCAAACTGTTTGCAGGCTTTCTTGTTTATCATCTTTAGAAGAGGCTTCCTTCTGGGACAACAGCCATGCAGACAAATTTGATGCAGTGTGCGGCAAATGGTGTGAGCTCTGACAGGCTGACCCCACACCCCTTCAACCTCTGCAGCAATGCTGGCAGCACTCATATGTCTATTTCCCCAAAACAACATTTGAATATGACGCTGAGCATGTGCACTCAACTTCTTTGGTCGACCATGCGAAAGCCTGTTCTGAGTGGAGCCTGTCCTGTGAAACCACTGTATGGTCTTGCCCACCATGTTGCAGCTCAGTTTTCAGGGCAATTTTCTTATAGCCCAGGCCATCTTTATGTAGAACAACAATTCTTTTTTCAGATCCTCAGAGAGGTCTTTGCCATGAAGTGTTGAACTTCCAGTGACCAGGATGAGAGAGTATGAGAGGGATTACACCAAATTTAACGGACCTGCTCCCCATTCACACCTGAGACCTTGTAACACTAACGAGTCAAATGACACCGGGGAGGGAAAATGGCTAATTGGGCCCATTATGGACATTTCCACTTGTACTCACTTTTGTTTAGAAATTAATGGCTGTGTGTTGAGTAGACATGTGCAATTCATTTCGGTATGAATTTCGGCAATTCGGACATTCGGAAGCATCCGAAGATCCGAATTTCTGAAGTGCCGGATTTCTGAAAAGTGGCAAAACAGGAGAAAATTAAGGGAATGATGACAGGAGTCTAACCCTAGCCCTAACCATACCCCTTACCTAACCCCAACCCTA